CCTTGGAGCGTCAGCTCCACAACGGCCTTGCACGCAGTGTGTGGTGGGTTCATCCATTTCATGGAAGTGCTGCGCACCAAGATTCCTGCAACTGAGTTTGACAAGGTGAGTGGGGGCATCAAAGATCAATTCATGGCCGGCTTCCTCGACCCTGATATTACCCACGCGCTTGAAACCACTGCTCCACCAGCGAGCCTGGAAGCTGTCGGGTTTTTGAGGAGAGACTGAAAGTGTTGTGGGAAGGGTACGTGAGTTTCTGATGCGTCAAAATGCGCGGTCCATTTGATGTGCAGCCCTGCTGCCAGGAGTGTGTCGCAGGAGATAGAGAACCGTCAGACCCGTGAGTTCGAGGAGAAGGAGAAGGAGCTGGCCAAAGAGGTCGCTGATGCCAACTTGAAACACATCAGTGTCAAGGTCCTTGCGGACATGGAGACTTTGAAAGATCATGTCCCATCCAAGCAGAAAGAAGCGCGTGAAGCGGCGCTGGATGTCCAATATCTCCGGCAACGCCAGCAGCTTCTTGTTTGTTCTTAATGGGTCATTTTCGCTTTCAGTAGGCGGCGTAGGTGCTTTTCCCACATGGTCACTGTTCGCCTGAAGATTAAAGAGCTTCGGCAGGAAAGGGCAAACCTACACCAAAGAATGGATGGAGAAGCACTGCCGCATGATTGTGGTTGACGACAACATGCCTCTTGCGTTGAGAGACCTGGCCCAGCACGTCGCCGAGAAAACGAAGGATGGTGGAAACGCGTTGTTCGGCCTAAGTGTGAGGCCTTTTGCTGGGTCATTGCAGTCTTCAATGGGATAACGAAACATTTTTTGACATTTACAGTTTGTTTTTTGATGTTTTAGGTGATTATATTTTATAGTGGACTTCAGCGCAAAGAAAGTCTGGCCCATCTAACATCACAGCTTTGGTAGTGTAGGGTAACCTGGAGAAACGAGTTACGCTTGATAGCGCATTGCTTTCTTCTTGGCTGAGGTTTGTTTTGTGTCTCGTGGACACCACCATCTTCCCAGCGAATTCCAAACAAATCATGAACGCAGTCTCCACTTTGACAACTGTTCTTGGGATGGCTGGCAGGAACATTGCCCACATTCAGCTCCCGGTTCCTCAAACAAACACCACCGGTGGAGCGTTGGTCAAGCATCGCAGAAGCATAGAGGACAGTTTGCTCAGCGCAGGCTTTGATGTCACAACCACTTTGGCCTTGCTTTTTGAGAAGCCCGTGGACGCCACTGGGGCAGATCGCCGTGGGGGATGCCAGACTTGCTTGGTGCTTTGTAGTGATATCAGATCCACTCCTTGGACTGTGCCATCCGCAATTGGGCCGATGAAGCTCATCAAAGTGAACGAGATGATCGGATACGACCCAGACAGCCGCCCCGGTGCTACGGCTCGCGCCGAGCAGATTCTAGTCTTGTGCAAGCTGTTTTCCTTCTGTTTTGAAAGCAATTTGTTTTTTGTTAAAGGCCGCAGCGCAACAATTTGTGTCTCAGTGTCCAGGAAAGGGCTTAACCCTCACATCGAGATCATTGACGCCTACATCCAGGGGCTCACCTTGCAAGACCAGGACCACATCGTTCTATTCGATATTCTGCCCAACAGGCTTGGTTGTTTGTGGCTAGTTACGGGGAACGTTGTATTTTTGGGGAGCTGCTTGGGGAGCGTATAGAAATTTGACAGCAGTCAACTCAATTGTTTTGCTCAAACTTGGGAAACTTTCAAATATATCGATGGATGGATTAATTGAGAGAGTGTGATTTCCAAATCGATGGAGGTACGTAGAGTTCGGACGGGCGGTGTGCGCCCAGAAGATTGCAGGGAAATGGTCAGCTGTCAGCTACATGGGTCTCATCAAGGACGGGCAAAAGGATGTGATGCAGATGATGGAAGAACAGGTGTACAACTCGTGGGACGCAGGGCCACACGCTCCATCAAAGATGCGGGTGCGGGATGAAACCCAAGCGCCGAAGCTGACGGCCATTCTTTGGCAGAATGACCGCCCAGTTTTTCCGGATTCACTGGTCAACAAATTCCCTGTCGGGACGGAGCAGCACACGGAGGTCTTGAAAATGAAGAACGCCTTGGAAGCTTTGTGGCCAAGCCCTTCCTCCAACACCCCAGCGCGGAACGTGAACGTGCCACCAAGGGCTGTTGGGGAGCCTGATTTCGCAGACACAACCCTTTTGGATTTGACAAGGGAGGTTGACCTTGCGAAGATCAAGTCAGAAGATTTTGCTGAAGAGAAGTTCCTTGCGTTGCGATATTAGCGCACCCTTTCTTTAAGCACAGGGTTTTCATTCCCAGCTGTGTTTGATTTGAGGTACCCGTCGATTTTTGTTCGTCAAAAGGCTGCGATTCTTTATTTTTGTTGTCAGGCTGGCCGTTTGCCAGGGCAAGAGCAACAAGCCCACCATCGTGATCACGAAGGACTTCCGAATCTATTTGGCCAACTTTACCACTGAGGAGGTGGTGCACGAGCAGGGGGAGCTCTTTGCATTCAACACGGGCGCTTTTGAAGTGAAGATTATTAAAGGTTCCTTGGAAATGTTCAACATTAACTGTTGATTGTGCTGTGAAGTGTGTGGGCTGGTGAGGGCTGGCTTTTTCTGTATGAAGTCGCTGGCTGGGCTTGTCACTCTCTCTCTCTCTCTGTTTTTGAGGCTCTGGTCATGATGAGTTGCACTGCTTGCCATGGCGCTTGGGGTCAGACACGACGCTGATTTCCTACGAAAAGACTCTGATGCCATTATGCTCATTTATTTGCAAGATGACCCGAGAACGAGGAATAGCAGATGTGACTCTTTTTGATCATGATATGGTTCCAAAAAGACATGCCAACCCAGTTCCCCGGCAATTCGTTGATTTTTGATTTTTTGTTGTATGTTTTTAAGATTTTGATTTTTCCTTCCCCTTGACCTGCAGCTGGTAAGTCTGAGGTTTTTAAGGTTTTGATTTGTCCTTCCCTTTGACCTGCAGCTGGTAAGTCTGAGGCTGAGGGCCAGCCAGCAGAGGTTCCTTATCGGTTTGATGTGTCCATGGTCGCGTCCGGCAAAACGAATTGCTACAAAGCAAACAACCTAGCGGCCAATTTCGATCCCGAATCCCACAAGCCTTGGAGCTTGGGGGCGGTCTACCAGGGCAACATGCAGTATGTGCCTCGCCAAGAGTCATCGAAGACGGCCGCGTTGGTATGGGAGGCCACGCTGTGGGGAAGTGGGTGACAAGTTTCACACCTTGCCATGTCATATTATAGCCCTTGAGCGTTTTTTAGGTGTAGGTTTTTTTGAGACATAGTCAAACGTGTGGCATTCGTAGTGTTGCGTACGCAGGTCCAGCTCCAAGCTGGAGGGTCCACGCCCAAGATCATCCCGGTCAAACCAAAGGTGTATTTGACCTGTAGTGTGCGCGTGCCAGCTGGAATGCTGGTAAAGGTAGTTTGAGGGCGGCCTTTTGAGCGGCGAAAGTTCTTGCCAGGTCGGTGGCCAGGGCTTGTTGACTACTTCGAGTGCAATATCCACATGTATCCACATGTATCTTGTTTGTTTCGTGCATACCTTCCAACAAATAACAAACTCAACGCAGGCCCTGGCTAAAGATCGGCTCGCTGGGCGTGAGCAGTTTTTGACTCTACACAATTTCTTCCCATGGTTTTTGTTTTCGTTGCCTAGCTCAGCTCCACCCAGATGTGACTTCTCCATGCTGTGGTTGAGAATTACAACCCGAACACGTGCTGGCAGTTCAATGTAGGTCCAGGAAAATTGCGGCAACTTTCTGATAGTAAGCAGCCTGGATGTGATGGTTTTTAGGGAAATGAATGGCCGGCTACTTGCAGCTGCCTGACTCTTTTTCGTTGCGCAAACGCTGCGCCACTGTTCTGCCATGGACACGCTCCCACCAGTCACTGCTGTCAGTGATGAAGAGGAGGAGGCTAGACATTGCATTGATCTTCTTTTGCTTAACAGATTTCGCCCTTGCAGACTGGCAGGCTGGAGCCCAGAAGCGACCTGCCGCGAAGCTGCTCCCAAAGCCCAAGGGATCCCCAAAGCCCAAGGCGTCCCCAAAGCCCAAGGGGTCCCCAAAGCCTAAGGCGACCCCTAAGACCAAAAGGTCCCCGAAACCAAAAGTCTCCCCAAAAAAGAGCCCGAAGGGAACGAAGGGCGGTCCATCTTCGTCAGAAGGGTTTCAACATGAAAGTGCTGAGGGTGCAGCAGGGTCTGAGCAAGATGCTGACGGGGCCCATCCTGTGTTGAAACGCCCAGCCGCGAATCCTCGCAAGCGCCCGGCTGCTGCAGCTTCTTCTTTGACAGGAGATGTTTCAGGTCACGAATCTTGCGACACAGGGTGTTGGTGTTGTTGTTGCTTTGCGGTAATCTTAGCGTTGTTTCTTAATGTTGTGGTTGATTCGTTCTGGGAGGTCGGAAAATCAGCCCTGTGTATTACTACAAGAACACGAACATTTGGGGCATCAAGGTCGATGGCAAGGAGGCGATCAAAATCGGCGGAAAGTATTTGGATACGGAAAAATCCAAAGAAGCGTGCGCCGAAGGCTCAGTTTCTAAGTCTAGTACTTAGTTGATTGCGTTATTTGTTGTTGAACGCCCCTGAACTGATTTGAGGAGCTTGTGCGGGAGCACCTTGTGAAGGGTGATTCGATTGAATTCTGCGTAGAAATGGCTGTCGCAGCCTTAAACTTTTGTTTGGGCATGCAACTCACACCCGACAGATTCCCATGGCCAGCTCATATTCATGTTAAGGAGTCCTTGAAGGGTCAACTCCCGCGAGTTGAAGACGCAGGCCTCCACCTAAGAAAGTCTTTGACAAACGTAGGGAATGAATTTGATAGGGTGTTTGTTGAGGTCGTGACAACGGAGAGTCGGCAGGTGGGCCTCGCAAGAGCGCGGATGAAAATGGTGAGAAAGGTGGGGCCGCTGCTGCGTCAGCTGCGGGAGCAGGAGGTCATGTGGACGCTGACGATGCTGCAGCGGAAGAGGCAGAGGAAGAAGAGCGCGAGCAGGACGCTCCCGTGGAACCGGTAGAAGTTGACTGACATCGAATGATGTCGTGTTAGCGCCCTTCTCACACAACAGATGCGAACTCGCCTTTGTAGCCGGAAAAAGTCAGTGGCCGTGATTGGACCATTGGGCGGTATTGAGATGGGGGCGCGAGTCTTGACATTATTCCTTTAGACGACGAATAAAACTGGAAATCGGTTTGTCAAACTGACATGGGCCGAGCTGAACACAGCAAACCCCTCGGATGAACGTATTATTTAGTATAAATCACAACAGCGTGCTTTTGTCCGCTGAAAAAGTTTAGTTGTTTTTTCCTGGGGGTTAAATGCTTACCAAGTTTGTTGGGATCTCTCTCCGTTGCTAGTTGGTGACAACGGGGGTCCGTCTATTGCCCACCAATCCCTCGCCCCATAGTCGATACATAAAACAAAAAACCCGCCCAGCTGCGTGGCCAAAATACTCAGCACAAAATTCACATCTGGCTCAA